CCCGGTGGGGGACAATTTTTTAGCCAGTCCGACAAGCTATGCCCCGTCTCCCAGCCTGGTCAGAGATTCCGGAGATGGCTGAAAATAGAGGCTTTTATTATAGGAAGAGACAGTTCAGTTGAGAGCAGGTGAAAATACTCATTGTAAGATGAGCATAAAATCCGAAAAGGATTGTGCGATGCATAATCAGTTGTACACCTACTAAGAAAAAGGGGAAGATAATTTCTTGTCGTTCTGGAAGGAACTGAGAAATGAAGACGACCTAATAGGAAATGAGAATCAACAAAACGTTGCAATAATTCATTACCAACCTTATAGGAGACAAGATGGGGTCTGGTCCGATAAAAGGACATAAACTTACATTTGGAGCAGTTAAGGTGTAATTGGTTAACCAAGCACCATCTCTGCATGCAGTTCAGATCATCCTGCAAACGAGTGCGAAAGAGGATTCTTATTTGAAAGAATGAGCTTCAAATCATCAGCATCATCAGTATGTGAGAATGTGACAGGATAGAAGGAATGTCGTTTATAAACAAAGTGAATAACAATGGGCCTAGATGACTACCTTGAGGTACACCCGAAGTAACACGAACAGGTTGAGAAATATCCGATCTGAGTAGGACTCTCTGGGTCCTATTTTTAAGATAGACGAAATCCAAAGCATAATATTTGAAGGAAATACGATCAAGCTTCAACAGGAGTAAGTCGTGATTCACTGAATCAAATGCCGTACTGAAGTCGGGTGTATAAATAACATCAGTTTGCATTTTAGCTAGGAATGCATCATTTATCAATGATGTAAATTCCAGCAAATTGGATGTTGTCGAACGATATTTGATTGAAGCGCTATTTGACACAGCATCTAGGCCCGGCGCTTTGTTGGGCTTTAGAGCGGAGTGTAGAGCCTCCTCTGTAGAGACTACGTCGAAAGTGTCGCATCCGAGGTAGAAGTCAAGACTGCGGTGTCGCATAACTCTAGGAAGCATTGAATAGTGTTAGTTCTAGGCCTGAGAGCGCCTCCAGCAATATCCGGCCTCGAGCGTTGGTGACGTTGCTGCCCCATTCTAGCGCCCACGAGTTGAAGTCGCCCACAATTATAACTCGGCTACGCCCTCTGGCATCATAGGCGATTGCATCTAGGACTGCTGCAAAGTCCATCAGGGATAGGCTAGGTGGTAGGCAGCAGCTATATATCCACAGACTAGCCACCTTGGCTCTAACGAAGAAGTGGTCAGCTCTAACATTAGACAAGGAAAAAAGCTAAAGTCGGGTGTCCCGACTTTGAAATACTCTGTACATATGTTTACAATAATCATAGAAAATAAAAAAAAAAAAAAAGAATAAAAAAAATTGGATCGATTTTACCTCTCTCGGTATTCGAACTCACGTAAAGGGTGTATAATTGCACATTTACATAGCAATTGCGTCTGTGTGAGTGTATGTATGCCTATGCGCATCTATTCGTGTCTGTGTAAGCATTTTCGCAGTCAACCAAGATATAGGCGATTATACGAATGGAAAATCGGGAAAACCCCCATAGGGGGGAAGTGGGGGGGAAAATCAAAAAAATAAAACAAACTCGTATAGAATACACACATAACGCATCTTTGTGGAAAATTTGGTGTCTCTATCTCTTATAGTCTCTGAGATCCAGGTGTTCATACGGACGGACAGACGGACAGACAGACAGACAGGGCTAGATCGACTCGTCTCGTCATGCTGATCAAGAATATATATACTTTGTGGGGTCTGCCACGCCTCCTTCTGCCTGTTACATTTTTCAGCTCCCGCAAACCTAATATACTCTTGTACATTTCATGTACAGAGTATAAAAAGCATAGCGTTCTAGGTCCGCACAGCCGTTTTACCGGACAGGTCAGCGACCCAGCTACTATTGCTGTGGACTTTATATGGCTAGCTGAGGATTGCCAGGCTTACCTTTTCCTCGTTGACAGTTTGCAGCAGCAGGTCTTGCGCTGCAATGCAGTGGTTGAGGTTAAGCTAAAGAACCTTTACCATCTTAATTGTTGAACCGTCTCCTTAAATACCGGGCATTTGAAGCAGGCTGCGGCATGGTCCGTTACTGGAAGCTTTTTCCTACTGCAAAGTGCACATATCGGGCTGTCAGTGCAATTCTTAGCTGTATGCCCTTTATCGCCGCATCTGAAACAGGAGTCTTTCAGATCCTCGTCGCTCGTGAATTTTGCTGCTATGTGGCCAAAGCCCAGCCACTTATAGCACCGTTTTGGGCGTATTACACTCCGAATACGGCAAACGACCCAGCTTATGTCAACTCGTCAAGGTCACGGATTTCCAATTGAGCCTCTTCTACCAGTGGTTTGACCACGGCTATTCCACTTAGGGCCGCCTCTACTGCTTTGTGCAGCTTACCGATGTCGTTGGTCGGTGCTCTACTAGTTGCCGTTTCCGGTTCTCCGAATGCGCTGTACATCACCTTTTAATGGCTGCAATTCAGGTGCAGACTTGACTGCTTTTAGGATGTGCGCATACTGATCTTCGCCGACGCCCTTGGCTATGATGGCTTTTGGCCTGCTTCGCACGTGTCTGGCGCTTGACCCTCGTCCATGTGTCTGCTCTGGGGGCAGGGGAGGTGACTGTAGGGTTCCCATTTCCCTTTACCACCTGCGAAAATACTTGTGGCTGGGTGCTTGAGACCTGCGGTGCGTTGGCGGCCTTCTAGTCGCGCGAACAAGCCCGACAGTAAAATAACCGGTTCTCTCCACAAAAAAGAAAAATTTTAAAAAATATATATTAAAAAAATTAAATTATTTAAAAAAAAATTAAATTAATTTATATAATACATACATCACTTGTCTTATATACATACGTGTATATGTGTTTATATACGTGTATATATAAGCAACAACAGCAACAGATGCGGGCAGCGCTGCAAGCAGAGCATGAGCAGCGATTTTATTTATGGCTAGTATAGCCTTTTACCCTTTGGGTACAGGCTATAACAAGAAAGGAATGCTAAAGTAGAGCAGGCTCAACTCTTAAATACCCTGTACCACCCCACAAAAAAGAAATTAAATTAACTAAATTAATTTGATTAAATTAATTAACTAAATTAATTTGATTAAATTAATTAACTAAATTAATTTAATTAATTAACTAAATTAATTTAATTAATTAACTAAATTAATTTTATTAATTAACTAAATTAATTTAATTAATTAACTAAATTAATTTAATTAATTAACTAAATTAATTTAATTAATTAACTAAATTAAATGCATACATACATTTACGTTAACATCAGAATCGTGCCTATACGTGTTTGTGTACTTATGCATATGTATGTATGTGTGCATTGGGCCTGGTTATATGGCTATAACTTTCTTTCTGATCAACCTATCATAATGAAACTTACGGATACGGATATATAATCTCAAACTTAATGTGACTACCAAATTTTAGTTCAAAATTCCAAGAATTACGGGAGTTATAGAAAATCGTTAATAGGAGGGAGTGGGGGGGGGGGGGGTGGATCAGAAAAAATGAACAAACTCGTCCTTTCTAGGGCTCAGGAGAATTTGTATACCAAGTTTGGTTATTCTAGCTCTTATACTTTCTGAGATCCTTGCGTTCATACTGACAGACAGACATTATGATAGGGTAATTAGAAAAAAAGTTATAGCCATATAACCAGGCCAATGCACACATACATACATACAAGTATGTACAAGTACACCAACACGCATAGACACGATTCTGATGTAAATGTATGTATGGAATATTTATTATTTAATTTAGTTAATTAATTAAATAAATATAATTTAATTAATTAATTAATTAATTATTTTAAATTAAATTAATTAATTAATTAAATTAAATTGATTTATTTTTTTGTGGGGTGGTACAGGGAATTTAAGAGTTGAGCCTGCTCGACTTTATCATTCCTTTCTTGTTTTCATGTTCGTTCATTTTTATACCCTGTACCCAAAGGGTACAAGGGTATATTAGTTTTGTGCGAGTGCACATGGAACACACAGAAGGAGGCTTGGTAGACCCCACAAAGTATATATATTCTTGATCAGCATGACAAGCCGAGTCGATATAGCCATGTCCGTCTGTCCGTCTGTCTGTCTGTATGAACGCAAGGATCTCCGAAAGTATAAGAGCTAGAATAACCAAACTTGGTATACAGATTCTCCTGAGCCCAAGAAAGGACGAGTTTGTTCATTTTTTCTGATCCACCCCCCCACTCCCCCCTATTACAGATTTTCTATAACTCCCGTAATTCTTGGAATTTTGAACTTAAATTTGGTAGTCACATTAGGTTAGGTTAGGTTATATATCCGTATACCAAGTTTCACTATGATAGAATGATCGGAAATAAAGTTATAGCCATATAACCAGGCCCAATGCACACATACATACATATGTACAAGTACACAAACACGCATAAGGCACGATTCTGATGTAAATGTAAATGTATGTATACATGCATGGAATATTTTATATTTAATTAGTTAATATTTAGTTAATTAATTAAAATAATTTAGTTAATTAATTTAATTAATTTAGTTAATTAATTTAATTAAATTAATTAATTAATTTAATTACTTTTTTGTGGGGTGGTACAGGGTATTTAAGAGTTGAGCCTGCTCGACTTTAGCATTCCTTTCTTGTTTAAAATTTATATAAGTTTTCTACACATAGGAACAGACAAGCAATTCAAGGTCGGTGCACCCGGCTTGAGCTGTTCCACATGTTTTGTTTTTGTTTTATAGCAGTACTTTCTCTGTCGCTGTACAGCTCTCAGAAGACTCAGGCTTACTGCTTGGCGCATGTATAAGTACTCGTAAATAATGCTGTAGCAGTATCTACATAAGTTGACCTACCTTGTGGCAGTAGGTGCAGGGTATTTAAGAGTTTTTCCCGCTTGACTATAGCATTCCATTCTTATTATTTATTTTTTATAAAAGCAGCAACAATTAATTGTATTTGACTCAGTCGCACGGAAAGCGTTGAAACGTTGAGTTGTTGTGTTGCATAATATTTGATTATTACATTCTTAAATCTTTAGAAGACGGTTGATACATCATGATCATTTCTATGGTAATGCTGTTCCTGATGTTGTGCGGTGCTGTGAAGGGTGACCTTCGCTATAGGGGCAATGCGGTACATCCGGGTAAGTCGTCACAATTCGACACACATTTGGTGGTCCATTTACTAGATCTAGCATCTTATAGACTTTCCGGGACAGTGCTTTTATGAGGAACTCAAACAGCCCATACCGAAAAATCAATCCTATAGGCCGATTAACCGTGATGGTCATTGTGAATCAATATTTTGCCGCTCAGATTACGTGCTCCAAATTGGCTAGTAAGTTTAGCACTACAAATAATGTTTCCGGTTTTTACATATTCGTATAAACATTTTAGTTGTGGCCGTCACATTTTATTACCAACGACGACTTGCAAGATCGAAGCAGACATGCGGCGCGCTTTTCCCGATTGTTGTCCCAGAATAGTGTGCCAACAGCCGAAGGGTGAAAGCAACTATATAGTATCGAGATTTGAAAAATGGGTGGCAATGTAGTTATGGACTATATTACTTCAATAAACGAATCTTATTTGTAATGGTCTATTTTATTAATTTATTCTGATGCATAACAATGTATTGGAGACTTCAGTTAAATTACATAAAATCTTTAAATTTTGAATGTGTTTTTTGTGGAGCGACTTACAGCTATGTAATTCATGCAGGTGTGATATATTACTGTTAACTGCTACAGAACGTTTAAAGATATAAATAAAAAAGCTGTAATTTTGCAAATTTAAAACGTCCCAGATGCTTTATATGAATACGCACAAAATGTGTGTTTCAGAAATTTGCTCCACTCTCCCGAAATTAGTGATTTTCCATAAGTTCCATAATTCTTGGCAGTTTTGAATCAAATTTGATAAATACCTCCAGTTAATGATTATGTACCCGTATGCCAAGAAAAACGAAAGTAGACTATTATTTATGAATTATGTGTGCAAAGTTTGATTAATGTAGCTTTTGAAATGTGGACGCTATTGACGAAATTCTGTAGCGAGGGAAGGGAGTAAAATTAAAAAAAAAAAAAAAACTCGTCCTTTCTCGGACATAGGAGAATCTAGATACCAACTTTGGTTATTCTAGCTTTTATAGTTTCTGAGATCCTTGCGTTCATCCAGACAGACGGGCAGACAGACAGACAGACGGACATGTCTAGATCGATTTCTCTCGTCATGCTGATTCAGAACATATATACTTTATGGGGTCGGAGATGCTTCCTTCTGCATGTTACATACTTTGCACAAACCTAATATACCCTTTTTACCCTACGGGTAAAAAGAGGATTTAGAAAAAGAAAACAATTTTTGATTCATTTTATCTCCTTTGGAATAGGAACTCACGTAAAGGGTGTATAACTGCATATTTACATAGGAATTGTGTCTATGTGTTCAGAGTTGAGTCAACGCAACAACAACAATGACAGCTGCGGGCAGAACTTGGGCAGCGATTACATTGATGGCTATAACATACTTTCAAATTGCATTTCAGTATGAAACGTGGCATACATACACACATAATTACAAACTGGCACATTTTAGTCAAAAATGGAATTACGGGAGTTATGGAAAATCATTTATAGTGGGCAAGGAAAATTTCGAAATACACATTTTCCACGTATTAATATAAGGCAAATTTGGTGGCTCTACCTCTTACAGTCTTCGATATAAAGGTGATTATACGTGTAACGGAAAATCTCCAATAGGGGGAGTGGGGGGATAATAAAAAAACAAACTTGCACAGCGTACACACATAAGCAATTTGGAGTCTCTAGCTCTTATAGTCTCTGAGATATAAGCGATTATACGAATGGAAAATCGGGAAAACCCCCATAGAGGGAAAGTGGGGGGAAAATCAAAAAAATAAAACAAAACTCGCATACCGTACACACATACGGCATCTTTGTGCAAAATTTGGTGGCCCTATATTTAATAGTCTTTGAGATCCAGGTGTTCATACGGACAGACAAACAGACAGATCTAGATCGACTCGTCTTGTCACCTCCTTCTGCCTGTTACATTTTTCAGCTCGTGCAAACCTAATATACTCTTGTACATGTCCCGTATTTCTGGGAATTTCGAACTCTAATTAACGAACGCAAATACCTCAAGTTAGTGACTATGTGTCTGTACGCCAAGTTTCATTATGATAGACAGATTTAATAGGAAGGTTTAGCCATTTATAGGTTCTCTTTGCTGAACCGCTGCCCGGAGCTGTTGTTATTGCCGCTGCTTTAGTTGAACTTTGTGCTGCATACATGCTGACACAGACACGAATAGACACACATATACACTTACATAGACATTAATTCTATGCAATTGTGCAATTATACACCCTTTTCGTCAGTTCGAATATCAAAGGAGGTAAAATCGATCAATATATATACAAGTATTTTTTAATTTTTTATGTACAGAGTATTTCAACGTCGGGACACCCGACTTTGGCTTCTCCACTTGTTATAAATAACTTAACATACGGACACATAATCTCTACTGACGGACATGGCTATATCGAGCCGACTTGTCACCCTGATCAAGAATATAAATACTTTGTGGGGTCGCCCACGCCTCCTTCTGTATGTTACACACACCCTTTTTCCCGTTGGGTACAGGTTATAAAAATATCCGACCAAGTTAAATCGTAAGAGGATATTAGGCTTGTGAAAATGAAGACATCTACGATACATACGTGTATGTACTTCTGCATATTTACATACATATGTAAAATACATATTTTTATTCAGCATGACGGGACGATCAATATTATTATTAGTGAATCAGTTTACGTAAGCAGTATGACACCCCCTTCTAAAATAATTGTTTATGCATTATACCAGACAGGGTCTACTAGATTACTGCGAGAGTATGTAAGTCAAAAATTGTTTAAGACGCAATTTTGAAGAAAATTAAAGGAATCAATTAATAAGCTGCCGGATGACTGTATTCTCTCCCGCTTTACTCACTTAGACCCCCGTTTATATTTAGGATTGCAATTAAGCAATTAGCAGCGATCAACCCACAGACAAATACATACATACATATAAATAGTATGTGTGTAAAAAAATATACGCCATTGGCAAACTAATTAAAGTCGGACCTAGCCCGTAAAGCGTAATCGCCCGCTTCACAACTCAGTAATGCAATTGACCTTGTGTGTAGCGAATTCCTACTGTCTATTGGAGCCGGCACTGAAATAAAATTTGAATTTTCAGAATGTTCAGCTCAACTATAAATATAAAGCATGTGGGCAACTGGTGCTTTAGTGATTCTCAAGATGCGAACCGCAGTGAATCTGATTGCTGCCATGTTGCTTATTGCCGGGCTAGACCTTCTATCTACTACCGATGCTGGTAGGTGATGATCCGTACATAAAAAGATACTCTTAAGTGTTACTTATGCTCCTCAGCTAGCGAGCCTGTGTGTGCCTATCGTAACTTCGAGGATGAGACCATTTTCTTGAAGTATTTGCCTTTACTCAAAAAGGGGCAGGACTATGTCGACTTTGGCAAAGATGGCAAGTGTCTGAAACGAGCTATCTGCACCGACACCTTCAAAATAGAAATTGAAGAGTAAGTAATTAAGATGACATTTATTTCCACATTTGGTCATCGCCTATCTCTTGCAGCTGCACCAAGCAAAAGATAAGCTGCGTGAACAAACATCGGTTTACAGGTGTGTTTCCTGGTTGCTGTGTCAAATGTTAGGCTAGTATCCCTCAGGTGCAACAAATATTGTCAATGTTTTTTTCAATAAACTTGGACATTAAACATGAAACCTATACACATACATATGTATATTCTTCTTCAGATGCGTACATGGGACAATCCCGCCGTCCCAAATTTTAATAAGCACTACGCATATAAAAAGTTTTCGTCTCATACTAAGTATGTACATGAAATGTACAAGAGCATATTAGGTTTGCGAGAGCTGAAAAATGTAACAGGCAGAAGGAGGCGTGGCAGACCCCACAATGTATATATATTCTTGATCAGCATGACAAGACGAGTCGACCTATGTCTGTCCGTCCGTTCGTATGAACACCTGGATCTCAGAGACTATAAGAGGTGGAGACACCAAACTTTGCACAAAGATGCGTTATGTGTGTACGCTGTGCAAGTTTGTTTTATTTTTTTGATTTCCCCCTATGGGGGTTTTCCCGATTTTCCATTGGTATAATCGTATAAGAACACCATATTTTAGTCCCACATGCCTTATGTGAATACGCAGAAAATGTGTATTTTAGAATTTCCCTCCCCCCTCTCCCAAGCAAATTGCGATTTTCTCTAACTCCCGTAATTCTTAGAATTTTAAACTAAAATACTGCAAATACCCCTAGTTAGTAATGATGTGTCCGTATGCCAAGTTTCACTATGAAAGACCGATTTAACAAGAAGTTATAGCCATAAATATATTTGCTGCTTCAGCGTTGCTCAAGCGCTGCCCGCGGCTGTTGTTGATGCTTTTGCTTTGATTGACTGCGAACATGCTTACACAGACACGAATATACGAGCATAAACATACATACACTCACATAGACGCAATTGCTTTGTATATGTGCAATTATACACCCTTTACGTGAGTTCGAATACCAAAAGAGGTAAAATCGAGGAAAAATTTTTTTGTAGTTCTCTTACTTTTTATAGCCTGTACCCAAAGGGTGAAAGGCTATACTAGTTTTGTGCGCATGTATGTAACACACAGAAGGAGGCGTGGCAGACCCCACAAAGTATATATATTCTTGATCAGGATGAGAAGCCGAGTGGATATAGCCTTGTCCGTCCGTCCGTCTGTCCGTCTGTCCGTCTGTCTGTCCGTATGAACGCAAGGATCTCAGAAAGTATAAGAGCTAGAATAACCAAATTTGGTTTCCATATTCTCCTAAGACCGAGAAAGTACGAGTTTGAGTTTTTTTTCGATGCACCCCCCCACTCCCCCGCAATTCATGTTTTTTCTTATAACTTCCGTAATTATCGGAATTTTGAAATAAATTTTGATAGGTACATCCAGTTGGTACTAATGTGTCCGTGTGCCAAATTTCATCATGATAGGTCAATTCTGAAGAAAGTTATAGCCATAAGTAAAATCGCTGCTCATGCGCTGCCTGCAGCTCTGTCGGCAGCGCTGCCCACAGCTGTTGCTGTTGTTGCTGCTTTGGTTCAACTTTGTGCTGCATACATACACGCATATAAACACGCATAGGTACGTGATGTAAATGCATGCTGTTAAAACTGAACATAAACATGTATTCTAATTCAATTTAATTAATTCATTCATTTTTTTTAAAATTTTTTTTTTTTAATTTTTTTTTTAAATTTTTCTTTTTTGTGGAGAGTACAGGCTATTTTACTGTCGGGCTTGCTCGACTGTAGCGTTCTATCTTGTTTTAATTTCTGTAATTATTCTAAACATATGTACAGAGTATTTCAAAGTCGGGACACCCGACTTTAGCTTTTTTACTTGTTTAGAGTCCATCTTTTCATGAAAAGATTTTGTTGTTTTGATTTTATATTTTGAAAATAGATATACCAAGCACATTTAATTGATAAATTAAACTTGTATAGTTGCGGCCCTGATGTTGGGGCGTCAATGGGCGTCAATGTCACATATATTATCAGCGCTTTTTATACTCTGTACTCTGAAATGTGCAATAGTACATATGGTTTGCGCGAGCTGAAAAATGTAACAGACAGAAGGAGGCGTGGCAGACCCCCCAGTTAGTATATATATTCTTGATAAGCATGACAAGACAAGCCGATCTAACCCTATCTGTCTATCTGTCCGTCTGTCTGCCCGTAACTTTCAGAGACTTTAAGAGCTAGAGACTCCAAATTTTGCACAAAGATGCTCTATGTGTGTACGCTGTGCAGGTTCGTTTTATTTGTATATCCTGTACCCAAAGGGTTAAAGGCTATATTAGTTTTGTGCGAGTGTACATGGTACACACAGAAGGAGGAGTGGCAGACCGCACAAAGTATGTATATTCTTGATCAGGATGACAAGCCGAGTCGATATAGCCACGTCCGTCTGTCTGTATGAACCAAACTTGGAGATTCTCCTGATTTTCCAAACTGCAGCAACACGTTCGCTCTTCTTCTTCCTCTTTTTGCTGCTGCTTTGGGCGCATATAACTCATTGACGGAAGTTTACCTGGGTACAGGATATTACACTGTCGGGCTTGCTCGACTGTAGCGTTCTCTCTTGTTTTATTCTGATACGCCCATAACTTTCTTCAGAATTGACCCACCGTGATGAAACTTGGCACACGGACACATAAGCACTAACTGGATGTAACTACCAAAAATACCATTGATTTCAAAATTCCAAGAATTACCGAAGTTCTAAAAAAACACGAATTGCGAGGGAGTTGGGGGGGTGTATCAGAATAAAAAATAAACTTGACCTGCATTGGACTTAGGGGAACCTCGATAACAAGTTTGGATATTCTACGTCTTGTACTTCCTGAGATCCTTGCGCTCATACAGACAGACGGATAGACGGACATGGCGATATCGACTTGTCTTGTCATCCTGATCAATAATATATATACTTTGTGGGGTCTGCCACGCCTCCTTCTGTGTGTTACATACATGCGCACAAAACTATTATAGCCTTTCACCCTTTGGGTACAGGCTATTAAAATGGCAGTACTGTAGGGATGTATAGTAAAAAGCATCGATGTACCGAGCATCGACGATGTTTTTACCACGATACATCGATGTTTTCCGATGTTTTTTTTGCTAACGATGCATCGTCGATCCATCGATGTTTGTCCAAACATCAAACATTATTCATGTTTTGTTTGGTGGTCACATTTTAGATTGTTACACATTTCATCTTCATTTTTTCGTACATAATGTCACACCTCATATATAAAGTCTCTATTGATATATAAACATTTTTTTAATTTCACACATCTCTGTTGATTTTCTCCCTAATATTACCTTTTTTCTATGGAAAGTTAATTTTTTAAAACATCGATGAATCGATGTTTTTTTTCAATTCAAAAAATAAAATAAACTCGTCCTTTCTCGGAGTGGAAGAGAATCTGCATGCCAACTTTGGTTATCCTGGTCAGAGATTCCGGAGATGGCTGAAAATAGAGGCTTTTATTATAGGAAGAGACAGTTCAGTTGAGAGCAGGTGAAAATACTCATTGTAAGATGAGCATAAAATCCGAAAAGGATTGTGCGATGCATAATCAGTTCTACACCTACTAAGAAAAAGGGGAAGATAATTTCTTGTCGTTCTGGAAGGAACTGAGAAATGAAGACGACCTAATAGGAAAGGAGAATCAACAAAACGTTGCAATAATTCATTACCAACCTTATAGGAGACAAGATGGGGTCTGGTCCGATAAAAGGACATAAACTTACATTTGGAGCAGTTAAGGTGTAATTGGTTAACCAAGCACCATCTCTGCATGCAGTTCAGATCATCCTGCAAACGAGTGCGAAAGAGGATTCTTATTTGAAAGAATGAGCTTCAAATCATCAGCATCATCAGTATGTGAGAATGTGACAGGATAGAAGGAATGTCGTTTATAAACAAAGTGAATAACAATGGGCCTAGATGACTACCTTGAGGTACACCCGAAGTAACACGAACAGGTTGAGAAATATCCGATCTGAGTAGGACTCTCTGGGTCCTATTTTTAAGATAGACGAAATCCAAAGCATAATATTTGAAGGAAATACGATCAAGCTTCAACAGGAGTAAGTCGTGATTCACTGAATCAAATGCCGTACTGAAGTCGGGTGTATAAATAACATCAGTTTGCATTTTAGCTAGGAATGCATCATTTATCAATGATGTAAATTCCAGCAAATTGGATGTTGTCGAACGATATTTGATTGAAGCGCTATTTGACACAGCATCTAGGCCCGGCGCTTTGTTGGGCTTTAGAGCGGAGTGTAGAGCCTCCTGTGTAGAGCTTTTCCCTAGGGATCCTGTTCTGCGGTGTCGCATAACTCTAGGAAGCATTGAATAGTGTTAGTTCTAGGCCTGAGAGCGCCTCCAGCAATATCCGGCCTCGAGCGTTGGTGACGTTGCTGCCCCATTCTAGCGCCCACGAGTTGAAGTCGCCCACAATTATAACTCGGCTACGCCCTCTGGCATCATAGGCGATTGCATCTAGGACTGCTGCAAAGTCCATCAGGGATAGGCTAGGTGGTAGGCAGCAGCTATATATCCACAGACTAGCCACCTTGGCTCTAACGAAGAAGTGGTCAGCTCTAACATTAGAAAAGCATAGCGTTCTAGGTCCGCACAGCCGTTTTACCGGACAGGTCAGCGACCCAGCTACTATTGCTGTGGACTTTATATGGCTAGCTGAGGATTGCCAGGCTTACCTTTTCCTCGTTGACAGTTTGCAGCAGCAGGTCTTGCGCTGCAATGCAGTGGTTGAGGTTAAGCTAAAGAACCTTTACCATCTTAATTGTTGAACCGTCTCCTTAAATACCGGGCATTTGAAGCAGGCTGCGGCATGGTCCGTTACTGGAAGCTTTTTCCTACTGCAAAGTGCACATATCGGGCTGTCAGTGCAACTCTTAGCTGTATGCCCTTTATCGCCGCATCTGAAACAGGAGTCTTTCAGATCCTCGTCGCTCGTGAATTTTGCTGCTATGTGGCCAAAGCCCAGGCACTTATAGCACCGTTTTGGGCGTATTACACTCCGAATACGGCAAACGACCCAGCTTATGTCAACTCGTCAAGGTCACGGATTTCCAATTGAGCCTCTTCTACCAGTGGTTTGACCACGGCTATTCCACTTAGGGCCGCCTCTAC